GTATTGCTTATCTTCGTTAACGCAAAGTAACGAAGCTCTAACATGTAACCATAATTCTTGGGAGAAAACTTTCACTACGTTTTTCAATTCCAGCACTACATCAAATAGATATAATGATGACTGTTTCAATGTCTGGACGAAAGCGTGAACTAGCTATATAGATTGTAATTTTTTTTAACACGAACTTGTAAATTAGGCAGAAACATACGCCTAAAAAAAGTAAAATAGTTAATGACAAAACAGAACCATTTCCACAGACTTCTACCTTTTAACATTTTATCAGCTACGAGAGCCTTCTTAGGTCTTCCTTGTAGTCCTACAGCTGTTGCCTTAGCAACCTGACCAAAAGCACCTTTTCCAACGATCTGCTTTATCATCACATGTTCTCTAGAAATCTCCCAGGGGCATGTGTATGCATTAAGAGAAGTGTACTCACTAATTTGTTCAGCCCTGTGTGGACTGTTATTCTGTATGGTATTTGCAATCGCTTGTGAACGGCTTCTGTCATCCAGTGCCATATAATGGCTTTGAGAAGGTTTGGGCAATTCGATTGCAATCTTAAAGACAAAATTGTTTTCAATTCAATAACAGATGATAGACTACCAACTCTGCATGGAAACTGTTGAGAAAACCCTAAGTAAAGACAGCAAAGCATTTTCCTAAAAACGTTGCTGTTTCTAAAAGAAGTTTAATACACATAAACGTATGAGAATTCATTATTTGACTTACATTCGTATTTCCTCTTCTTTCATTACTTGATTTTCTATTTGTACTGAAACAACAAAAATTATGAAAGTGTAGTGAGATTGTTCGGGTGAGTATAGTCCTGAGAAGGACTGCTGTCGGTGGAGGTAGCTGACGTTTCGACAATCTCTCCAGAAGTCTTCATCAGAGTCAAGTGAATAGTTGTTGTCCGTAGAATGTTCTCAGTCCAGTTAGTGTGAAATGATTGGTCAGTTTTTCCGTGATGCTATTGGCTGTATGATTTAAGCGACGTAAGTTGGTCGTGATTGGTCTGTTTCGACGAGTGAATGAATCGTTTGTATGATGCCGGTAGTAGTCAACACCTATTGAGGGGAGTCTGTTCTAAGTCAGTAAACCAGCTTTCCAGAGTCAGTCGTTTAAAGTAGTTAACGCTGTAGGTTAGGCATTGCACAGAGTCTCAGTCAATAGTGTGGTTCGTAAGTCGATGATGTTCAGCAATGTGGTTATTGACATCTCCTTTCCTCGTTGCCCGTTTGTGATCAGTCAGTCTTGTTGCGAGGTTTCTCCCAGTCTCTCCAATCTTGAAGGCTTGGCAGTCGGAGCAATTGTTCTTATAAATCGCTCCCTGCCTGTTCCTCGGTTCGTCCTTGTCTTTAACGTTGTTTAGTAACTGAAGGAGTGTAGTGATGGGTTTGTAGGCGACGCGGATATTGAAGGGTTGCATGATGCGCGAGATGTTCTCAGAGATGCCCTTTATGCACGGTATGGTCGCTGTGGTCGTAGGAGTTGCGGTGTCGTTTGTTTCGGTAGCAGTAGGTCGGTGAGTGTTTTGTCGGATAAAGTCGTCGTTGTAGTCGTCCTTCGAAAAAACACGGTCAGGATATTTGTTCTCGTCGGATAAGCTGTCTGTCGTGTGGCATACTAGTTGTGCACGTCGTGTTAGAGTAGTGATAGTTGTGGCTTTGTGTGATGTTGGGTTGTAGGATGAATCGTCTAGTAATTTGTCGTAGTGTGTCGGTTTCCTGTGAACTATCGTCCGTAGTGAGTTGTTGTCACGGCTACCAAGACAGTCTAGAAAAGGAAGTTTACCATCTTCTTCGACTTCTCTGTTAAACTGTTTGTCAATGTTTTGTCCGTTAAGGCGGTGGTGGAATGCGTCGATTTCGATTTTATAACACAAAACTATTCCTTCTGCTTAAACGTTCAAAAATAAGAGAAAAATTCGTTACGCGTTGACGTTTGTGAGGCTGTACATGATCTATCATCTTTATGAATGAAACACAGAGTGTTAAAATTGTCAAACGATCGAGCTATATAGGAAGAACGTAGGTGAACAGCAACGACGCATATAACAATCTCACCTTCCTCTAATCGCCGCCCCTGTGGAAAAATAAAAAAAAAAAAACCAAACAAACATGAAAAACAAACCAGAACAAAAGAAAACAAAGGAAATATAGACATACTGAGCAGCAACATAGAAATTCAGCAAAATAAACACGTTTTTGATAGATATTCGACAACAGTTAGAATTTATCTTTCAAAGGTTAAGTAGTGTTCGTTTGATGCACATGACTTTGAGTGTGTATACAATCAAGCTCAATCTTAGCCAATAGCATACTAACAAGAAACAAAACAAATTACCAGTTTTTAAGGCACTATTTCAACAGTTGTCATTCGAAGTCAAAATAAGATTATGGGGCATTACTTCGTGGACTGAAGCTTCAACTAGATCTTCAAAACTTAAGAAAACAAGAGATATTTTTGGGATCCCCTACCTACCTATCTACCTACCCACCTACCCACCCACCCACCATCAGAGTTCTTAAATGTAATGGTAGAACTACAACCAAAAGATATTCTATCAACAGATTTGGAGTGCTTTACAAGATTTGCTTTAAACGATGGAAAGGAAGGAAGAGACTTGATCTTTACAGGTAGACTGTTCCAAATCGTACTGGCTCGATGAGTGAAGGAATCATTGTTTCCTTTCCAGTAGGCGTGGGTTAAATCGAATTTAAGGTTATCTATTAAATTGTAATTTGTCGCGTGCTTAGTAAAGAGATTTGTGATACTAGGTGGTGCTAGCGTTCATTTGAAAGCACAACATGCATGCAACATTTACCTTCAGTACCCTTTCTGTTTAGTCGTCTTTTCCTGCAGGCCCACCACACTAATATTCCAGCAGCAGCTAGTGCAGCAACGGACCCAAATACTGCACCAACAATGATCCATATGGTAACTACAAAGCGTGAAAAACTCGAGATAAATCGTTGTCAATAAAAAGCAAGTATCGCCTTTCACTTTCGCAAAAGAGCGACTGTTATAGGTGAGGCTGAAGCTCAGTGAAATCTTAGCTAAGTCTTTCCCAAAGCCGGAGAGATACACAACTATCACCAGCAAGATACGTACACAAGCAAAATTATTTTCTTGAACTGATAAATTAAAGCTTCCTTCCAGTGGACAGTAAATCATTGCTTTTATTTTTGGGACACGAAAGAGTCGTGTGTATAAAGGGCGCTAACTCAGATGACATCATCCATAAATCAAGATTATAGAATAAAGTGTGGTTAGATAATGATCTACCTGCTTTTGTCTCGTTTTGCAGCTCTGACGATTCTGCGAAAAAATTAAACTAACATCTTTAAGAAGAAAGAGGCATAATACCTATTTAAGGTGTTTCCTCAGAAACAAATTGTCGCTCAAATTTTGAAAACTTTCCTCGGAAGTTTCCCTCCAAACTCTGCTTCCAGAACTACGATAAAAACAGCTCACCGTGTTGTGATATGATGGGCAAATATTACCCAATTTCAACCTGTACTGGTACTAGTCATGCGCATCATTTCATAGCTTTATGGTACATTTTGCGGTATCTTAACGTAAGGGATGTTCAAGTAAAACTTAAAAAAAATAATAGATAAGAAGAAAGTCTCGAGCCCGCGAAAGAATTTAATATTGAAATTATAATGGTTATTCAACTGAGTGGAGTCATGTGTGATTTCAAAATGATTTGGAATCATAAGTATGATTTCAGACCAAACTTGCACGACACGAAGATCAATTACCGCTAAGTTGAATCCATTTTGAAGTCGCGAAATTCAGTCACTCAGATACAAGATTTTTTTGTCTGTACAAATAGTTCATTGACCTTATATTGAGCTGGTTAGTGAAAAATTGAAAAAATTGTTTTCTTATTTTCCAAGAATTTGACAGGTTTCTTTAAACAAGCCTTGAAATCTGATTGATAGTTGGATTTAAGTGAAGTCTCCTTATTGGCGGGGACAACCATGCCACTTTTTTTTAAAGAAAAAGGTGTTTTGCAGGAAATGGTTTGAACCCGGGAGTAACATGTGAAGGTGTAGTCTGATCGTCCGCGTGAGTTTAGTCCTGAGAAGGACTGTTGTCGGTGGTAGTGACTGACGTTTCGACAACCTGTGCGGAAGTCATCATCAGAGTCAAGTGAATGATTGTTGTCAGTAGAATGTTCTTAGTCCAGTTCGTGTGAAATGATCGGTTGGTTTTGCCGTGATGTTATTGGCTGTAAGACTCAAGTGACGTAAGTCGGTCGTGATTGGTCTGTTTCGATCTGTCGGTAAAGTTAGGTCGTTCTTTTTCGGTCGTTTGTGATGTTTATGTCGTGAATGAGTCGTTTGTATGGAGCGGGTAGTTGTTGACATCTGTTTAGGGGAGTCTGTTCTAAGTTAGTAAACCAGCTTTCCAGAGTCAGTCGTTGAAAATAGTCAGTGCTGTAGGTTAGGCATTGCGCAGAGTCCCAGTCAATGTTGTGGTTGGTAAGTCGATGGTGTTCAGCAATGTGATTGCTGACATCACCTTTCCTCGTCGCCCGTCTGTGTTCAGTCAGTCTTGTTGTGAGGTTTCTGCCAGTCTCACCGATGTAGGAGGCTTGGCAGTCGGAACAATTGATCTTATAAATCGTTCCCTGTCTGTTCCTCGGTTCGTCTTTGTCTTTAACGTTGGTTAGTAACTGACGTAGTGTGGTGATGGGTTTGTGGGCGACGCNATTCGGTGTTGTCTGGTCAGACCAGAATGTTCACGCCCATCGGGAAAAGATTGACATCTAGATTTAACCAGAAAAAAGGATGTAAACAAACCCATGTTGTGCCTATCTCCTTAAATCCTTGCTTCCAAGATAATAAATTTAAGAAGTGAATGACTACTTCTTATAGAAGTCCAAAGCCAATCAATGCATCATATGGCGATATATTATTGTGCATGGTTTGATATATCAGAAGGAACTCTGCGTCTCGAACTAGAGCCTCTCGTTCACCCCAAAACCAAGCTTTGCACTAAGCGAGGGACAAATTGTCATGGAATGTAGGTCAACAGGAGGAGAGAATATGGCTACTCGGCTAAGAACTAGGTCAACTGCGTCTTTTGGCCCGGAAAAAAACCGAGGCTAGCGGAATTGCTCTCAAGCCGCCTTGAACTGGCAAGAAGAGGTATAATTACTGTTTCCTGTTTTCTGGATCGTCTGTCGAAGTCACAGTGTACTCTTACTATAGTTTTGAGCGAGCAGCAGCTATCCTTATGAGGAGAACGACACGCAATGCTGTTGGAGAGTTCACATCTTTTAATTTCTCTGCAATTCATTTTATTAGTAAACGAAAATGCCAGTTTCAAAGTGATTTCTGTAATTAATGAAACAATCAATAGAGATTAAAATAGTAAGGAAGAGGACACAAATACCATTAAAATCCTTACCTCTACTCGAGGCAATTGTCATCTCGACCGCTTCCTTCTTACACAAAGTAAGCACCAAGTGTTTCTATAGATACTGAGTGAGGTTTAAGCGATTAACGATAAAAACACCCCTCTGAATTTCATTTGGTAGGTTTGACTGTAACTTATTTTGAACAGTACATACCGGCAACAGAAGAAAATTAAGTAAGAGTGCAGGGAAGTTGAAAACTTATCAACAGTAAAATGCAGTAGTATTGTAGCAAGCAGGGGTTTTAATCACCGAACTAGGTTTATCTTTCGTTCTTTTCGTCCTAAAATGAGCTTTATTAAGCTAAACAATAATTTACAAACTAAAAATAGGAACTCAATAAAGGTCGGAGTTAAATAATTGCCTGCTCCTGTTTCCTTTATGTAACACTCGACCTTAGTTCCTGTAGCCACGTGCTTCACAGTCCAAAGTTGTATTTTTGCGGAGTTGTCGATTTCTGTGGACCCTAATTTTGAATTAATTAGCGTTATTCCGCACACGAGAAACATGTCTCTGAACTAGCAACATTTCGCCAACATTTGGTTCGCGGTTTAGTTAAACACTTACATTTAAACAAAGATCTCTTACGTGAACTACTACCACCCTCCTTTTCAACGAAATGGAAAGAGAGAAACCCTGAGATACGCTTTGTAAACAATCATTATCAGGAGGTGTTTACTATCCTGCCAAGTTATAATGCTATTATGGGAGCAATGCAACACATTCAGGACTGCAATCCCCTTTTGCGGTACAGCAATGTGGACAGTAAGATGATATTATATTAAATAAGCTGTAGATTGGATGTAAAATGCGAATCAATCGAGTTTGCGTGTGAATGTGTACATTTTCGAATAACTGACGGCATCGTCAAAGCAGCTCATTTTATCCAACTTTAAAAGTTGATTAAATCGCATGAATCATTTCCCCAAAACATCCTTTGGAGATCAAAAAGAACCATACTTCAACTTCCAAAAGCCAGATTTTCAGTCGATTATTTTGTATAGCACATAGTTAAATAACAGGTTGCTTTTGACCTATTTTAAATCTTGTTAGAAGAAGGTCGGATAAATTCAATTACGTTGTGTAAATAAATGATCAAGAATTGCTCAAGATTGCTGTCAAATTATGTATTGATGTTGTTTTTGAAGATTTTGTAGATTTTATCAATCCAAGTGTTTTCAATTCGAGGCGCGACGCTCCGAGATTGGTCTGAAATTTTGAGCTTCAAAAGCGGCATTTGGACGAAATTCAACTTTTGTCGATTTTCTCGAAAATAAATCAATCTTCAGCCAAACGAAGTATGCAGTGCTTTTTTTCACCATAAGGCCTACCTAACTTGAGAATATGAGCCGAATCGAGTTTATGGCTGTTTCCACCATATTTTGAAAATGTGCGATTTTTGGCCACATTTCCTCTTTAATCTAAATGTATTTTATGCCGAGATGGTCCACATGGTCCTGGGATTCAGAAAGAATACGTCTGTCAAATTATCGGTTCATCAAAAACGGCACAATCATTAAAAGCAGATTGAAACAAAACTAAACAAAAAACATAAACAATTAAGCACGCTAACGAAAACAAAGCAAACTGCATTGTCAAAAATTAGTATATTTGTCCTGTAAATTTACCGTCAAGGGAACTGCTGGGTGTTGTTGGGCCCACTGCATTTTCATTGAAACCTCTGACACTGAAGTCTTCAAGGCGTCCAACTACCGCTGCATTACGGAGTATTGTAATAACAGCTTGTTCCTTTGTCGGGATGGTGAACTTCAGCGCCAGGTCAACAATAACACTTCCACACCTTGATGCAAACCACAAACGAGGGTTAGGGGAAAATGAAAAAAAAGCTACTTGAAAAAAGAAAGCACAGTTTGATCCAAAACAGTTTACAAACCTGAAATCTATCAAATACACACTTTCGTAGCTGGGTGTCCCGGCGAAAACCTTGTTCATCTGAGAAATAACAAAAGCATTCAATCAAAGCAGGACTGATCTTCACTCATAATGCTGAATGGAGCCAAATATTTATATGGCATCTCGTTTTCCTGTTTGGCCTCTCACTCGACCCAGGACTGCCGCCAATTTAGAATAAGATGTACTGAATTACATCAATCAGCCAATTGGTATGTATTTCACATAAGATTGTAAACAATCGTCGAACCACCAACCAATTTACGAAATAACCGCGCATTATGGTTTCTGGTGAGTCAGTAACCACAAAAACTAAATGATGCGCCGCTTTCTCAACTAGCTTAACATGAACGAGATAATGAGATCAAGGCGTTGGTGCTATAATGCAAAATCATCCTTGTCGGAATTTCACTCTTAACTAAATGATAGATCTGCATCCGATCATAAAACTGTAAGTGAAATGATCATATCCAGTGACTGGAAACATTAATGTTCTTCGTTTTTACTGTAGTTGATATTGGTCGCATTTAATTCTGATGTTAAAGGTCATCTTAGGAAATTTAAAGTGATTACCATTTCACTAAGTCTCTTCAGTAACGAGGCCAAGTCATATCCTCCATTCGCACAACTTTCACTTTCACTAAATAGGGTCACATTAATCAAACTTCCTCCAATAACTGTGGCAAGATAATGAACAATAAATGTCATGTAAGAATAAAAAAAAAAGTCCACAAACGTGAAAATGCGAGAAAGAGCATAACTGTACATCTAAAAAAATAGATCTTACAAAAGGGGAGACATCACCTAGTCTTACCACAAGTATCTTTTTTTTAAAATAATCACAGTGGAATGCTTTATTTTGTGTTCTTCGATGTAAGTCACTGACTGATTTTGAGTGCAGTCTGTTACTTTTAACTGGTGTGCTGACGTTCAAAAACATTTAACACTGAGGCAACCGTCCCAGTGTTTTTGATACCAATGTCTCACATGTGCATGACCTAACTTAAGAATTAAATACTTCTCGTATCTTTCTGTTGAAATACCAGCAGTGCAAATGTAATCCCAATGATAGTTAAGAATGACAACCTATCAAGTAATATCAAGATTAGAGTCAACTAGTTGTATGCCTTTGGAATATTTTCAACTCTTTATATATCACCATTTTCACACCGTGGAGGTTTCCTTCTAATTTACAAGGGTGAACTAATTAAAAACGTAACTTACAAACTCTGTAACTTTTTGAATCATTGGAATACTCATTTGCTGCTTCGCAGGTATAGTTGGCATCTTTGCTGACTTGTGGAATAACAAATGTGTTCTTGTTACAAACTTGATCTTGACCGCATGGAGTCCAAGTATAGGAAGGCAGGGGATTTCCTTTTGCTTTACAGTTAAGGGTGACGCTTTCTCCTACTACGACAATGTACTCATCATGAGTAGCAGAAATACTGACATGAGCTGTAAATCAAGATGATAAGGATGCAATAGAATCAACACATCACCACGTAGAAAAAGTACAGTGCATTAAAAGTTCTGTTAGGCGGTCATCCACGGGGAAAGGCGGAGTGACCGCTTCATACGGGTTGACCGTTTAGTGGCGGATCGAAACCTTGATCTAAGGGGGTTTCTATGTGTTTGACCTGCCGGCTTTCCTTCCCTCTGCGATGTTTCTTTTTTTACCCAAAATAAGGTCCTCGTGCTCCCCCTCTTGAACCGTGACTGCCGCTCAATACAGTTTTCTCAGAATAGGGGTATTATAAAAAAAACGATACACAGCGTCACTTTCTAACATAATCGACCACTTCATGTACTGTATCTCGGTGAAAAATACTACTCACTTTGATCTTGGTTGGGGAAAACGGATTAAAATTACTTGAAAGATTATTCTTAGCTTTACTTTATTGGTTCTGCTTTTAAAGAGACCGTTAAATACAGGTAGAAGAGGATACAAGCATGCCGTTGGGACTTAGTTTAGGGTGACCGCGAACCCATAATACAGTTGACCGCTTTATGAAGGTGAAAACCATAGTCACTGTTATTGATTCAAGGGGAAACAAATTCGGGATTTTGGCAACCGACTGCTTGATACAAGACTGATTTCAGCGAACACGCGACGCTTAAAAAAAACCTCCACATAAACTTTAGCGCTTCTCCATTTGGATTAGAACAATACCAATACAGGCAAATTAAATCGTCTCAATTGAATGATATTTGTACTGGCTGTTAGAGCGAAAACATTTGTGATTCTTCCGCGGAAAATTATGAATTGATAACATGCGCGGCACTGAGCCGGTAAGTTTTACGTTTTACGAAAATGAATGATCCGCTTTAAGAACGATCCGCAAAATTTTCTCTTTTCTTGCTTGCGTAAAGATCACAATCTTTGATCCAACGGAAATTCCGACATGCGTGTTTGGATTAGAAATATGCAAATTTCACATCTCGGAAATTTTTCACTTCGAATTTTTCTTGGGTGTAATAATTTAGTTTGAAAATTAAGATTTGGCATAATTCATTTTCATTTCAAAAGATACTTCTTTCTTATCTAGAAAAATTATCACTATTTGGGACGATAATACACAATAGGCCATTTTACAGTTGTGTACTTAGTTGCCAAGCCTTTGATTCAGAGTGAGGCTAAAGATGACCTTGTTGTGATAGAGACCTGTATCTAGTCGCTCGACGAAGGGCAACGCTCGAAACGTCAGCTTTTCTAATCGTAACGGTAGCCAATTTACCATTTCAACTTTGTTGATATATTCAAATTATATAAGTACAAAGTGCTTGATATTCAATAAATTGAATTCAAATCTCATAATTATGAAAAAAGTATGTATTCTGGCCATTCATACATTGATGGTTACATCCACTGAAATAAATGTAGCGATGTTGCTACTTCTAAAAGGTGCGTTATCCTTTGCAACAGGAGTCGATGTTATAATTTCGTAATTGTCTTTTAATGCAAAAATTTATGTTACAATGAAATCTATCACTGGATTATTTTATAATTGTCATGGTCAGTTGCACCTAATGAATTTAAGACATGAATTTCATACTTCAGTTTGAATGCTAATCTGACTCGGCCTTGTATATAACACTGCTGAATGTATGCCATATGAACTATTGGTTGCATACATGCCTGCCAGTACATATTAATTAACTTAGCTGTAGCCATTCATTTATATCTTAAATACAATCTAAGTATATACTTAGTATATACTTAGTATACTGTATTTGTCACTTTGCCACTAGTTGTTTTACCCTTGAAGCATACTTGAAGTGTATACTGCAAAATTTTCAGTACCTTTCAAGTGTACTTCGAGTATACTTTTTGGTGTTCCAATTTCAGGTGGGAACAAGTATACTTCTAGTAGCTCTTCAAACTATACTTCAAGACTACTGAAAGTATACTTTGAGTATCTTACTTGCAGTACACTTTGATAACAGAAATAGTAATATAATAAAAGTGTACTTAACTTTGGTAAGGGCTTCAAGATCTACAAAACATCTGAAAATACTTGTTACTGATACTTTAGTAGTAACCATGTTATGGTAAATTGCTTGAAAACTTAAACGCTTGATTTAACATTATTACATGATAAACTTGATTTTAAGCAAGCTTCCCAAGATAGTATTTACCATAGTTATAGCCTGCCAGGGCCTGGGGACAAGTTGATTTTCTTTTTTTCCCTCACCCTGTACTCCTTTCCATATCCATTGTTACCACCATGTGCAAGATTATGACGACTGAGATATTTTTGAAGTTCTTTCAGTTGACTGTTGTGTGGAATAAGGCAAATTTATCACAAGCATTGAATTCATCTAAGTATCATTTGACTCTCTATGAAGTTTCTCAATATTGTTGAAAACAATTTGACCAGCAGTGCCTCTTTGAGTTGATGTGCATTTCATTTCATGGGAACAGAATGGTACAGACGTTATTTTCGAATTGAAATAATTAATATTAACTAATAAAGTCATTTCACTCAATGTTTCTAACATCAGAGAACACATTGTCATTCCTGTGAAGGGAATGAGAAGGAGGGGGAGGAGAAGCGAAGAAACTAACATTTTCGAGTGACTCGTCAGCTACTCCATGAACAGGGTCTGCTGGAGCAAATAAGAAGTACAAGTGGTAGGAGCTGGAAACTTCAGTTGTAATGATCCCAAGAGCAATAAAGTATCAGATTTAACTCAACTAGTTCTATTGTTTATTTATAGTTCTATCCCAGCATACTTAGCGGCCTAATACATTACATCAGTGACTTCGCAGCACTAGTTCCAACGCTTGGAGCTAATTCTGGAAGCGAGATAACAGATGTGCGCGGGTCCATTTGACCTGCGAGCCATGTCGTCGTTTCCTTTCATAACCGTTTAGTTCTTACTCCGGTTCCCCCGTCCTCGTAGTCTTTCTTCATTACTTTTGGTAAATTACAGAGGTTATTAGAAATTTTTTCCAAACTAATTAAACATTTGTAACAGTTTGCCGTGCAAATGAATATTTCACTCGACGAAAAAACAGTCACGTTCACATCGATGGTAGCTTTGATTAGACCTTGAATGTCCACAGAACTTGTGCCAAAAATACGAACTCTTTCTTCAGTCAGTGTGCATCCACAAAGGAAACAAATTAATTTGCTTCCACCGATGTTTTGGGGGGTTTCATCCACACATGCCATAACTTTATGTACTAGAATCGTTCTGAGGGAATGTCGGCCCGGGTGACAAGTTCTCTTCTTACAAAAGTTGTCATTGGCTAATAATGAGACAATATGTGAAAGCTGGTTGGTCGTCTCGAAACAAAGGAGAACGGAAGTGGCTACGGGTTGAAGCAGATGTTCGTGGGGGAAGAATGATTGCCTGACGATGCCTAAGAACGTCTGCGCAGGAGGCTAGGTAAACGCTTGAGTGTAAACACAGGGTTAGTTGATATTACCAAATTACCGTGTTACCCCCACCGACGGAGCACCACAGTTTCTTTAGAAACTTACCCCCTTTATTCAAATCTATCTTTAGGCTAAAGGTTTTAGGATTATTTTAGTCACGTTGAACAAGCTCCTAGCCCAGCAGAAAAAGACAAACAGCTGCCAAGTCTGCAGTGTAGGATGATTTTATTGCAATTTATTGTTACAGTTACAACAAGAATTTAGTTAAAAAATAAATCATTAAACTGTCCTTCACTCCCAAGAGTGTTGAGTCAAAATTGAGTAGAAATATCTGAATTTCAACTTGTAGAATCGACTAAATTAAACAGTATGACATGAAACTGCTGCTTGACAGCTTACATTTGAATTATTGTTAGCACACAAGAGTTTTATCCGAAGAAGTTACAACCACATAAAATTAAGTCAAAGCCTGACTCTGGAAGGAAAGTACATGTATAAAATACCATTTGTATCATCATTCCAAATTAAATGATTCATTTTAAGACTTTTTTTTTGACTGATAGTTTTTGTTGCAATAAACATAATTATCTTATGTTCTTGTATTTCATGAAAAAGGATCAACAAATTTTATTCACAATTTGTATAAAACCAAGTTTAATTATTCATTAGGACTATTTTAAATGAATAGCTGTAATTGAAGATAATTTTTATGAAGTTTTCAAGAAAGAAAAAGAAATCAAATTTCATCCTAATATTACTACATGTTGATGTTAATATACAATAGAAAATAATTGACATGTAAACCTGAGTTAAGCATGTAAGTAAATTTCATTAACTACTTGAATTTTTAGTTTAGAGTTAATGCACGTATTTCTTTTATATTAGTTGCCTCAAAGCTTTCCTAAAATTCCCAATAGTTCTTAAACGTTCTTCGAAATTCCTGAAAATCCCTAGGAGTTTCTGCCAAGTTTTTAGATTTACAGTCTCTCAGGGAAGTCAGTGGAGCTCTAAGTTGGAGTTCCTGGGAATTCCTTGGAATTCCAAGTCCTGTTGGCTATAAATGCGGAATTTTTGGAAATTTCTAGGTTTTTAGGACCAGAGTTATTGCAGTTGAGAGTTCCTAGGAATTCCTGGTTCAAATTTACTGAGAAAGCTCGCGCCTCTTACTCCCAGTAATTCCTAGGAATTCCTAGGATAGTCCTCGGAATTTCTAAGACTTCCAAAATCCATTTCACAAGGGCCTGAGGTTTAATCCTATGTTTCGTTAATTCACTGCATGAACAACAGACTTCATGTGATCAAGCACATCCCTTGCATGAAACCCATGGGCAGTGTTAACAAAGCATGTACCAACACAATTTAGACAAACAGAATTGCCATCACAGGTTGCAATACAATGCAACGTGACGTTTCTAAGGATTGTGGCTTTTAGCCATCTTATTTCTTGAGCATAACTTGACCAAAGTATGTAATTAGACGAGGTTCTGGCAGAAGCTCCACTTGTCCCATGATTTCTGAGTTATATTAAAGTTTGCTCATTCGTCTCGCATGAGTTTACTTCTAGTCTTGTGGCACTTTTTGTTCCTTGAATAATTTGCTATTTTTTTTACCCAAAAACCATGAAAATGAAAAAGACAAAAGGAGTTCATGACAACCACATGGTCTTTGGCACAAGGTTTCAGCTTGTGTTTCATTCACTGCCTGAGCATGGATAAAACCCGCGGGCAACATTCTCATGACCTTTACCCTTTACACCCTAACATCAGCTGTATAACTATATTCTCCATACTATTCTCTACACATTTCCTTGGGTGTGGACAAGGAGAATTTGTTTAACAATCTAGAGCTTCTTTAGTTGTTGATCATTTCCTTTACTCTCATGGCCTTAATGTGTGATTCAGAAGTGATATTGTAAGGAGAATTTAGATGCTAAACATTCTTAGGGGTCAAAAGGGTTAACATGCACACTAAGCACTTATAACCAGAAGAAAATTTGTCTCAGCTCTTTGAGTCTTAATAAACTGACTGAAAGAGTGAAATTCTCCATAATTTTGAGATTGAATGGTTTCACAGGATCAAAGCTCTGTATCAAAATATACTTACCAAAAACAATCACTTTAACTGCTTGCCCTCTAACAGGATCCTCGACTTTATTATCAGCTACGCAGCTGTATGTTCCAGAATCAGCAACACTGACGTTTGTAAAATCCCAAGTGGGTCCATAGTGCTTTATTTCAGTGCTAACACCAGTAGGGACTTTGGTCCAGGTAATACTTGGTGCTGGCCTACCAGTTACTTTACAAAACAAGTGGAGGTCTCCCCCTTCAGTTACTACTTGGTCACCTCTTACTTGATCAGTTATCTTCACTGGAGCTACAAAGACAACAAAACCAATGGCATAACATTTTTCTTTTTTTCTTAATAGATATCTTGTGTACATAAATACCTTTCTGATGCTATTGAATCTATACAAAGAAGAGCTTTGAGAATAATATTTCCAAATGCAAGTTATCAACAAGCCCTTGATCAAGCAATTTGACATTGTTATTAGATTGCAGGACATTTATATGTAAAAAGTTGATAGCAGATATGAGGAATGAGAGCTAACCTATATCCTTCTTAGCTCTGCAATTTATGACAAGATCTATCCCATATCAGTTAAGATCAGGAAATACTAGCCACTACAACAACAAATAGGACAAACAGAGCAAATGACTTTTTCACTTTTAGGTTCTTATGATTCCAATTAATATTATGATTCTTATTATTATAAATAGATTTAATTATTAGTTTCTAATTTTTTGAATTGCACTGTTTATTCAGTTTTTAACTGCCAGAAGGTCGATATTTTATGGAGCATTTTTCCAAATGTCTGCATGCTCATACTTGGTATGGTAAACTATCATATATGGGATTTGTCACTCCAATACTAGAATTTTGGCTTCTAGTTTTGGAAATCCAACAGTTTCATCTATGCATCATGTCCAGGCAGGAGCAACAGATGAAAGCAGCTCAAACAAAACCATTCAAGTCAACCATTGTGGCCAACAACAACAAAAGTAATGAGAGGGAAGGTTTACATTCTCCATATTTTTGCAGTGTTCTTGTAAGTGTGATATTGCAATGTTTTCTTACTTGGAACTGGTCAGCTCAGACAAACCACCACAAACTGTATAATATCAATCCAATTAAGCTTTAAAAATTATGTGATCTAAAAGAAATGGATTTATAATGTGAAATAAAAAAGAAATGCAAATCAAGTCTTTATCTTGTAGCAAATTCAGAAAACTGATTGGAATGTACTTACTTATGTGGCAGGTAGTTAAAACAGATCTCTCTTTAGAGATTAGCAGATTCAGTAAGCAGATTTTTTAACAAACTATGAAAACAATCTCTCTCTCTAAATTCTTCTAAGAAATTTTCAAAACTGTTAAATCTTTCCCTTACACATTAAAGAGCTCAAATTCCTTGTTTTGAATTAAGGAGATTTGAGCCCTCTAATGCTTCAGGAAATATTTCACAACACTTTTGAAAATTTCAAAATTTAAAGGATTTGTATGGAAAACCATGTCAGCATGACTGGGTGGCAAAAGTTGTTTTTCTCATACAAATGCTTCTCACTTTCAGTGGCTGTTGCAGTCACAACAGAGATATACCGCTGAAAATTCTCAGGTTACCTAATTTTAATATGCTTGTTCAGCTTGTGTTAACAAATTTTTCAAAAAGTGAACTGTTTTCATGGTTACCAAAAATTGATCATGTGATCAATTCATGCAAAGAGCCCATATTAATAATTCCCTCCAACCAAGTGAAGAGATTAGAAAAAGAGGACAACATCACAGTCAGGGAGCTGATGAGAAATCAAAATAAAGCCTGTCAAAAACCTAGTGGGAGGGTCACAATTGGTTTTAGTTTTGATTCTGATTGATTGAGAAAGTACAGTGTGACATGGCCCAGATTTTCTGGACCAATCAAATAGAGGGTACATATAAAGCAGAACCAAAGCTGTCCCTAATTACTTTCAACACCCAATTGAAAATCACTCTCATTTAATTAACTCTCGATGCTGAGAATTAATTTCTAGATTTCAGTATTCATTTTAACTATTTTTTCACAATGTTATATGTGCATGTGTGATATAATGAATAAAATTACTATTGAAGTTGACCTTCTGAGAAACGGCATTATGTTAAATGTTAAAAAATCAGAAAGAATCGCCAAGAGTGTTAACACATGAGCAAATATAATACAAGTGAAAACCAATTATTTTTAAGCAATGATTGTTGGTATAATCATCCCTACAAAGGTGGTGCCCTAACATCAATTTTTTTTTCAGCTGATTTTTTTTTTTTAATTTTGCTCAAAAAGGACTTCAGACCTAGGGGAGTGAGAGACACAAAAAGTAGGGCCCCTATTTTCATTAGCCTCACACCAAGAGGTATAGAGAAAATAGTAATTGGTTGCTTGTCAAAATGGAATGGTTTCTTTTTGAGTGTTCAACCTGATACAGTTGGACCTCAGTATCAAGTGGCATCATATTAGGTGGTCATCCTGTATCAATCAAGCAGTCATTTGTGTTTAAACGATTGTAGTTTTCACCTCTATTAAGCAGTCACATCTATTATGTGGACATGGTCACCTTTGAGTGAGTCCCATTATGGCCTGTTCGTATTCTTGAACAGGTTTTTGCACATATAGAACTCAACTATGACATTAAGTGGTTAACTGTGCCCATAAAATGGTGCTTTTTCATGGCTATTGACATTATGTCTATTCTGTGGAACCCATATAAAGCAGTCAACCTGTATTTAGTGGTCATCCTGCCATGTCACATATTGGTGACTGCTTAATTCAGGTTTAAATGTATCTCGCTTAAGTTTGCTGTGCTCACTCAGGAACTACCAGGTTAAATGCTCAAAGAGAAATTTCATAGCTGCTTAATTGAACCCATTTTTAATTCCCTATTTGTCGCTGTGATATTAGAACTACACGTGGTTACTGTGAGGGAATTTGGGTAACATATACTGTCCTCATGGATCAAGTCTTATTTTTTCATTGATCAAGTGGTGAATCCTACATTGAAGCTCTTTCACATCATTTTTCTGTTTGCCACACATAGCATCTTTAGCGTTTTTTGCAGTCCTGAAATGGTACTAAGGAAACTTGGGTAATACAACTACAGAAAAGTAAAGTATATCAATAAAAACTACAAATAATTGGATGAGTCATGCACAACAATTTTAATGGTCATTTAAGAGCATCAAGTCAAATTAATTAGATAAATTTGTTAGAAAGGAGGTTAAGGCTTTTTGAAAAGTCTACTTAGATTTACAAGCTAGAATCCAAGAACATAACTGGATAACTATGTGTAACAGTTGTGGTGAGCTGCTTTTAACCTTTTAAATCAAAGGAGTGACCAAGATAGATTCTCTCCTTACAATAGCAAACAAATATAAAGCAAGCAAGTGATAAGGAAGAAGAAAAATATCAATTTGAGGATCATTAGTTGATCCAAACCCAAATTCTCCCAACTTCCATCATGAGAATTGTATGGCAGATAGTAAGGAGAATTACTAAAGAGATCTTGGGAGTGAAAGGGTGAAGTCAGCTGCACTTTTCAGCTTACCTAGGACTTGCACTTGAATTGCACGTTTCCAACGTTCAGAATTGAGGGTAAGTACCTCACAGGTGAATTCTCCATTAGCCTTATCATCAGCAAAAATAACGCGAGAGATAGACAGAGAAGCGGTTTGTTTGGTCGAACTTAATACGCTCAACCGTCCAGTAAAATTAGCAGAAACATCACCAGCTTTTCCATCTGACCGAATAGTGACTACAG